ATACATACAGACATACATACATATATATATATATATATATATATATATATATATATATATATATATATATATATATATATATATGTATATATAAATAAATATATATATATATATATATATATATATATATATATATATATATGTATATATAAATATATATATATATATATATGTATATATAAATATATATATATATATATATATATATATATATATATATATATATATATATATATATATATATATATATGTATGTATATGTGTATGTGTGTGTGTGTGTGTGTATGTGTGTGTGTGTGTGTGTGTGTGTGTAGTGTGTGTGTATGTGTAAAGTCTTAAAGGTTGTTTTTTCTAGCTAGATGACATCCTCATCGCCAGAGAGCACTCTCCCAACGCCTCAGCGTGTACGGAGTCATACGGTTCCCTCACTGACTTTTCTGGGTCACTCTAGTTCACCTGAGGGCCCTGCTCCTTTCCAAGACAATATAAGCACCATCACTAATCAGACCCGATGCATAGCACCAGTTGCGCCGGTTTCTGGGTATGCTAAATTACTACAGGCGTTTCATCCCGAAATGTGCAGACCTTGTGGCTCCCTCCCTCCCTTTTTGGACGACTGCAACAGAAGTGGCTTTCCAAAATGATGCCTTTAGTAAAACCACTCTCCTCGCATACCCACAGCCTGACTTGCCTACCACTATTCAAGTCAATGCCTCGAATGTCGCTTTGGGTGCAGTGCTCCAGCACCTGGTTGATGGTCTATGGCAACCACTTGCCTTCTTCTTAAAACAGCGTGCTTCTCGTGAAACCCACTACAGTGCCTTCGGATGTGAACTTCACAGCCCACTGTGTTGTGCAGTATTTCTGGTGTTACGTTCTCCATCCTGACAGACCACAACCCCCTGCACAACATTCAACCCGCAGACCCTCAGTCAACAGCGATATCCGCGAGGAGAGGCAACTCGACTACTTGGCCCAATTCACCGGTGACATTTAACACGTCAAAGGCTCCAATAACCAGGCAGCCGATGCCCTCTCCGGGATAAAGATTGCCAATGTTGTTCTCCCTAAAAATAACATTGCCTACGAGGAAGCAGCAGCTGAGCAACTGACAGATGCAACTCCTCCGGCCTTATTCCAAGAGGACTGCAGTCTACGCTTACAGCGTGTCCCTCTTCCCGTTGGCACCACCATCGTCTGTGACAACTCTACATCCTTCCTGTCCTCTGACGGCGGTTCATCCAAGCTTACCACCAACATTACGGTATCAGGGCTACCCAGCGCCTGATCACACAGCTTTCCATTTTTTAGCACGTCCACCTCGACATCGTGGGTCCCACGTGCTTCTTCTACGTCGGTATTCGAATTTGTTGATAGGGGGAGCGAAATGTCCGATTCTAGTAGTTTTATTGATTGGCGAGTCGGCATCACTGGAGGTAGAGAGAGAGGGGAAGAGAGAGAGGATTTTACAGTACATGTAAATATAAGATACACATAGAATTAATGACAGTCATGCCCATTCGTATATATTGAAGCATGATGTCATTGGTGATTTGAGAGATGTTCTTTTAATTTATTTTTTAATGTATTAGAGTTTCTGATAATTCTGTTATTATTTGACAATTTGTTTCAAATCATGGGTCCACGTGTTAGTGTCTGCCGTGTGCCTATATGTGTACGTGATCTTTTGATGTGTAGAGAGTTTACCTTGTTTGGACACAGGTTGTTACCTACGGTTGAAATTACCAAGCGCTACTCTCGCAGTAAAGTTCTGTAATTTTCTGAATGTGTTTATTGTGCCCCAGATGTTAGAACAATAATTAATTGCGCTGAGAACTAGTGTTTATATAACGGATATCCTAGTTTCAACAGGGATCTTGTTTTTTATGTGGCTAAGGTAAATTAGTGTGCCCATTACTTTTCTATGGATATTGTCGACATGGTTCTCAAATCTCATGAATCTTTTAATGTGTACGCCTAGGTGCTCGGTCTTATTTAGCTGTCTCCAAATTTTATGGTGGTGTTTACTGGAATTTTGACGATATTTTGGCGACTAACTATGAAGATATATAGTGTTTTATCTGGAATTACCTTGAGGCCATTTATGTCAAAGTATCCTTTGAGAGGGAATGAGGGAGAGAGGGAGAGAGGGAGAGAGAGAGAGAAAGAGAAAGAAAATTAAAGAGATAGTTGGATAGATAGATAGATAGATAGATAGATAGTTAGAGAGAGAGGGAGAAAAAGAAAGAGAAAGAAAGAGATAGATAGATAGAGAGACAGAGAGAGAGGGAGAGAGAGAGAGAGAGAGAGAGAGAGAGAGAGAGAGAGAGAGAGAGAGAGAGAGAGAGAGAGAGAGAGAGAGAGAGAGAGAGAGAGAGAGAGGGAAAGAGAGAGAGAGAGAGAGAGAAAGGAAAGAGAAAGAGAGAGAGAGAGATAGGGGAGGGAGAGAGGGAGAGAGAGAGAGAGAGAGAGAGAGAGAGAGAGAGAGAGAGAGAGAGAG